TGTGGCAACGATTCGATAATTCTGCAGATGATATAAATTTTTTGCATTCTGAGTTATAATATGAATGAAATACAACGCTGTTAAGTGAACCTAGCGCCAGAGTGTGGCTATGGATTGGATTGGATTATTTAATTATGGCAAAGCACACGAGGGCTATCTGGCTAAAGGGAGGGATGCCTTCATGGAGGACTTTCTAAGGTAAACTGGCTCGTATACACGTTACACATGGGAAAAACTACGAAAACGCCCTTGCAGCCAGCCTGTTCGCGGGATTCGAACCTCGACCGAACTACCAGTGTTCAGCGTCTTTACCGCTCGGCGGCTGGTGGGCGTGGCTATGGTAAACAAATATAGTGAGTGCATTTACTCTACTGGGTTTATGCGCTACCGACGAAGTAGATTTAATTCAATCCAATAAGTTTAAATGAAATGCAAGAAAAAATGCATATAATTTAATATTCCGTACAAGGAAGTCATGTGGTGAACACATCAGAATTTTTACATCTATTAGTCCGTAATTATTAATCCTCAACTGCATATTATTGTGTTAAGATTACGGATACTGCATATTATTGTGTTATGATTAGGGGTACTGCATATTATTCTGTTAAGATTAGGGGTACTGCAAATCATTTCCAGAAATGTATTGAACAGTTCATAAATGGAATTTTGCATTTTCCTAATTAAAATTCTGTGAAAGTACTTATTTAAGTGTTTCTATTTGTATTTATATTCAATTAGTAAGTTACACTGGTATTTTGAGGATATTTTTTCTCGTCGTGTAATGTTATTTTGTTAGTGTTACCAAAATAGCCGTGGATAAAGGTTTTGTTGTTGTTGTGACTTATCTGACTTGTCTGACAGTAACATCAGCACAAGCCCACAAAATTCATCGTGGCGAGGAGAGCAAGATTGCGCCTGTCGTTGGCAAGAGCTTTGAGCAGCATACAGGTGACAGTACGACTTTGCTCATTTTCGCCCCCCCCCCCCCGCAGTTTGAGGGAGAGTTCCCAGAGAAGACAGGTCCGAGGATCTCCTACCTCTCTGACCTTACCACCAAACTCTCGAGAGGACTTTCGGCTCGCATCATATTTAGGATGCCTCATTTCGCACAAACAATATATATTTACAAACACGCATGCCTTCTCTGGGATTCGAACCCATGCCCCTGGATATGGCAGTCAGCATCGCTAACCACTGTCCCAGTTGGTCGGCGTCAAACGTGATGACGTCAAGCGATTCTGCCTGAATTTTATGCCACTTACCAGGAGCGGGTGGGACCGTCTGGAATTCGACAAATTTGCCAAGCCGCCGGTGGCTTTAAGTCGGCCTTCTCAATAAAGATGCCAGCACCTTTACGCAATTCGGCGATTCCTCGCCAAGAAGCCATCATAAAGGTATTCCGACGTAAAGGTTCTAGCACCTCGATGGAAGGTAGTTTCTTCAAGTTAGAAACTGACCTTCATATTGGTCCTGGTACACTGCGGAAAAAAAATTGGGACAGTTGTGTATCTTCCGTTCTACTGGGCCCATTGACAAAATTCAAATTGCGTTTTGCATGTCTCGAAAGCGCGACTTAGAATATATGTTAGATTTATATATAGCTTTGTTCTAATATAGGTATAATGACACAAAATCGGACTTTTTCTGAAAGGACATGCCAATTGTTTTCGATATTTCGATTCTACGACTCCAATTATGTCTGTATATTAAATTTTCTAAAATTTAGTGGGATATTTCCGGAGAATTAGTGTATTTTTTTCAGCTTGTGCCAAGAATAATTTACTTGGCGAACTTCTTAATTTATAGCAACCTAATTTTCCTTTCCTGTTTTGCATTGAAGACGAGCGGGAAAAAAAATCATCGTTCTTACTTTCAAATAATTTCAACAAAGTGCGTAAAACACATTTGCCGTTATTATCGCTCAAAAAAGAGATGCCAAATTAAAAAACGTGTCAGTAGGTAATTTCATGTATATCTTTAAAATTTTGAATAAAAAACTCTAATATTTTGCAGGTGTGCTTAGAAGTACATCTACTTTAAGAGGATGCTAAAAATTTTATAGGTAATAATTCAAAATGTTTTCGAAAAATTTATAAAAATTATTCAAAAATAGAAATTTTTAAAATAAAGCACAGAAAATGGGGGAACTACATTTGGATTAAGCCTAAATTTTGAATTCTGGAAGAAGGAGTCAAGTATAAGTTTAATAAAAAAAGAGATATTGATAAATATATATTCAATTTAACATAGAGGAGCTAATTTTGTAAAAACTACTCGTGTGATTTTTCACCAGCGGCCGAGCTTTAAAACCGCTGAACACTGGTAGTTCGGTCTGAGGTTCGAATCCCGCGAACAGGCTGACTGCATCGGCGTTTTCGTGGTTTTTCCCATGTGTAACGTGTATACGAGCCAGTTTATTTTAGAAAGTCCTCCACAAAGGCATCCCTCCCCTTAGGCAGATAGCCCTAGCGTGCTTTGCCGTATTCTCAATACACCACCACCACCACCACAAAACTGAGCATTTTGGCCTAATTTAACTCATAGTATGGAAATATTATTGAAAAACATTGGCATGTCATTTCAGAAAATGTTAGATTTTATAACAAAATACCTATGTTAGAATAATGCTATATATAAATCTAATATATATCCTAAGTCGCGCTTTGAAGACGTGAAAAACGCAAGTTGAATTTCGTCAATCGGCTCAGTAAAACTGAAGATATAGAATAGTCTTTTTTTTCTCGCAGTGTAACCAGCATCTCGACGAAAATTGCGTTCTTCAAAATGGAAACTGAACTTAATGAACCGGCTTCACACGGTTGAAAGCACCTTTATACCATGGCATCTGTGGCATAAAGGGGCCAATGTGTGTAAAGGTGGTTAGCTTTATAATGAAGATTTCGCCGAGAACAGAAACCGTATGAACGTACAACACTTCGATGTAATTTGCTTTGTTTAAGTCCTAATCCAAACTTAATATGGTGCGGGTAAGCATGTAGATGGAATTTATCAAAATTAAAACAGTTAAATTAAGAAAACTAAGACTCTGTTAAAATTAAGACATGCGTCAGGGCATCCTGATGGAGGTTGCACTTTTTGTAATGTAAACTGCACTTCATAAGAGTGCTAGATACTCCTTACGTCTTGATGATCAGCAACTATCTTGAAGAAGGTGCTGTCACATTTATTGAAGTCGGCGATTTAGATTTTAAAAGAACGTCCGGGAATCTTGATGGAGATTGCACTCTTCGCAACGTAACCTGCACTTCCTAAGGGTGCTAGAAACTCCTTACGTCTTGATGATCAGCAGCTGTCTTGAAGAAGGTGCTGTCACTTTTATTCAAGTTGGCGAGTGTTCACTTAGATCTTCAAGGAACATTCGGGAATCTTGATGCAGGTTGCATTCTTCATAATACATACTGAACTTCATAACTTCAAGACAGTAAAAGACACTAAAATTAAGAAAGAGTAAAAGACACTAAAATAAGAAATAGAGACACAAAAATAAGAAATAAAGTCACTAAAGAACTAAAATTAAGACACTAAAGTCTACTTATAAAGTCTAAGAACTAATGAAGACACTAAGGACTAGATTAAGACTCTAAAATTAATAAGCTAAGCCTTTAAAATTAAGACATAAGTACGGACGTCCCGGCATCTTGAGGGAGGTTGCACTCTTCGTAATGTAAACTGCACTTCCTAATGGTGCTAGACACCCCTTACCTCTTGATGATCAGCAGCCGTCTTGAAGAAAATGCTGTCACTTTTATTCAATTTGTCGACTGTTCACTTAGATCTTCAAAGAAGGTCCCGGAATCTTGATGAAGTTTACATTCTTCATGATACATACTGAAGTTCATAAGTTCAAGGCTTACGACACTAAAATTAAGACACTAAAAGACGCTAAAATTAAAAAAGACTAAAAGACGCTAAAATAAGTAATCAAGACACTAAAATTAAGAACTAAAATTAAGACAGTAAAGTCTAACTTCTAAAGTCTAAGAACTAATTAAGACACTAAAATTAAGAAACTAAGCCTTTAAAACTTACCTTACGTCTGTCTAACTAAGCCTTAACTAAGGGCGTCCAAGCATCTTGATGGAGGTTGCACTTTTCGTAACGTAAATTTCACTTCATAAGGGTGCTAGACCTGCTTACATCTTGACGATCAGCAACTATTTTGAAGAAGGTGCTGTCACTTTTATTCAAGTCGGCGACTCTTCACTCAGATCTTCAAAGAACATCCGAGAATCTTTATGAAGTTTGCATTCATGATACTGACTGCACTCAGGTCGTTGTGCCCGGGCGAAGAACGGTCAACTCCCATTAATTTGCTGGCACATAATTTATTCAGTTTCACCCCGCCAGTCAATCCCACCCCCGTGGATAAAGATTATTCATGGTTGGCCACAGCTCAAAAGGTGGTATTACCACATTACAAAACCACAATGTTACCACATTAACAAAAAATAAAACTGAGTCTTACTCTTTTACGACTGCCATTAAAAACGTCTTACCATAATTCAACATACGTTAATGTATACCAAATTTTATTAGGATTAAATTTTACGTAGGTAATTACTAAGCTTCGCTTTCGCCCAAGCATGCATTTCACTCAAATTCAAGTTCAATGATTTTATTTGTTATTAAAATTTAAGCGATAATTCATGTAGGAATTAAGTTTTTGCTATATGCTCTTGAGCGGATCTTTCGCGTGAGTTTGGATCTAAACGGCAAGGCCGTATACATACGGTCTAGAATAATTTTAGTGATATCTGTAAGAACGTATATATACGTGCATATTAAAATATATCAAAGAAATTCTAGCAATATATTAAAAGTACATAAATCCAGGTATAAAATACCAGGAGAATTTTTACATTAAAATCAAGAATATATTTTTTCTAATAGTAGTTTTGGGAAATTTGTGCTTTCTTATCGAAAACTCTGGCCGATCAGAGGGTTTTTAACATTCTTTTATCTTGTTTGTTTTCCAGGCAAGATTTCTATCGATATACCTTGGACGTCATTATATTACGAGCCTGTACTCGTGCACGTGGAAGAGGTGTTGGTTTTGGCAGGTCCCATAGCTGACCGGAAGTACGATCCTGAAAAGGACAAACGACTATGCAGGGCTCTCAAGAGCAGAAGACTCGAGGACGCCCAGCCGCCAGACCCAGATGCTCCAGGTAACCAGCATTTCTTAAATATTGATTCCAGCTATCATATTATTCTTAATTTTAGATACAAACGAAGAATAAATTGAGGTACTTACGCATTATGACAACTATCTTAGTAGAAGTCGCCAAATTTTCACACTCTAGCAGCCATGCGCCTAAGTACTCTTCAGAAAACCATACTCATAACAATCCTTCAGTCAAGTAAAGTCGCTGTTTTCGTTTGCGTTCTTTTTGTTGTAGTTCAAGTTTCGATGGTTTTCAGTTTCGAAGAAACATCCGGTTGTCGAAATTTAATTTCAACGAGTTTCGAATGCAAATTTCGACGAGAACCGAGTCTAAATTTCGTCGAGTTTCAAGCAAAATTTCGAGTCCATATTTCGACGAGTTTCGAGTCCAAATTTCGACGGGTTTCGAATCCAAATTTCTATGAGTCTCGAGTCCAAATTTTGACGAGTTCCAAACCCAATTTCGAGGAGTTTCGAGTCTAAATTTCAACGAGTTTCAAGCCAAATTTCGACGCGTTTCGAGTCCGAATTTGGACGAGTTTCGAATCCAAATTTCGAAAACCATACTCATAACAATCCTTCAGTCAAGTAAAGTCGCTGTTTTCGTTTGCGTTCTTTTAGTTCAAGTTTCGATGGTTTTCAGTTTCGAAGGAAAATCGAAATTTAATTTCAACGAGTTTCGAATGCAAATTTCGACGAGAACCGAGTCTAAATTTCGACGAGTTTCAAGTCCAAATTTCGACGGGTTTCGAATCCAAATTTCTATGAGTTTCGAGTCCAAATTTTCACGAGTTCCAAACCCAATTTCGAGAAGTTTCAAATCCAAATTTCAACGAGTTTCAAGCCAAATTTCGACGTGTTTCGAGTCCGAATTTGGACGAGTTTCGAGTCCAAATTTCGAATGCCCTATGCTCTGTAGCTTTCCGCGAATATTTCGAAAGCGGTTAAGAAATCGGCCGAAGCAGATGTGATTTTCCGAATAAATAAATAAATGAAAATAACTGGTAGTAAAATAAATATCAGGTGTTCTAACTCTGTAATTAACTGTTAAGATCGTATTAATTTTCTCCTTAGAAGAACGAACAATTTTCCAGAAGAGTGTAGAATCTTAATAGCAGAATTCGAATTTGCTCTTTATCAGCTTTTCGCGAAAACTTCGAAAAAAAAAAAAAAATTCTCCGTCCTTTTTAAATTAAGACTCTTCACTCTGCGTAAAGCCCGGACAACGCCGCGTAATTCAGCTAATTAGTAATAAATTTTCGTTCGTGAGCGTTTTAAAAGAAGAAAACGCTGTTAAGCAATACAATCGTACGCGGAACCATTCGACGAATCATCAATTATAGTTTCACGTTTCCCGATATACGCTTTATTGCACTACATAATGACACCAAATTATTTCCCGACTCGTTTTCTCGGATATATTTCGCTTGAAAGTTAGGTTATTTAAATTGGCAGCTTAAACATTTAGCATTCAAGCACGCGGAACTTATATCAAGAAAGGGTGAATATTTTAAACAGTTTTTGTTACAAATATAAGGGTGTAGGAAATAATAAAAAAATAAATTCTGAAAGGTTTCAGATTTTACATTACGCCCAAAGGAGCGTTTTATTAACATTTCGTGTGTTACATTTATTAATTAAATATCATGTAAAGGACCTCAGGATGGTGGTTCGGTAAAACCATCGGAACTAGTCCTGTGAAAATTTTGAAAATATAACACTGATTTTTGTTGTTTGACTTCTGAATTAGTATTTATTCGGCGTGTTATTGTGTCTTAAATAAAGCTGCTTTTTCGCCCAATTTTAAATTTTACATCGGCATTAGGACTGCCCTTCTGGTTTCAAATAATTTCCATAAACGTTATTAACAATTGATAAATGAACTTTTGTGCTGTAGAGTGATTTTTTTTCCCCCCTGGGCCTCGAATCTGGACTTCTTGAATACGCGCCGAGATTGCTATAGTTACACTACGAAGAACGAAGAAAGTACCTCTATAGCTTTAAAAACATTATGAATAGTTCGCAAAAAAAGCTTTGCTATTTCCTGATAATGCGGAGAAAGTGCCTATTTGTATGTTTCTCTGTATACTGATATTTAGTCAGTTAATTTCCAATTCTATTTTGGAGGTTACCTTTTGCCATTGTTTATATCATGCAATTTTTCTGATAATAGTATTAAAATAGCGATTACCAGCGCCCGGATTTCAGTGATTTAAAAACTCATTGAAAATACTTTTAAAAATAAAGAAATGTCTCCCCTCCCCAAATAAAAAGTATTTTTAAAAAATCTAAAAGGTTTCAGATTTTAAATTGTAGGGATTTCCTTAATTTGCATAACAAATTTATTTTAAGTTTTCCTGTTCTCAACTTCTCAAACTTCCCCTCACATTCTCTCGCCAGGATGTAAATTTAAAAGTGAAGTGCTACATAAACGTGTGATTATCTCAGTTTTATTCAGAGCGTGTTTCGCTAGCCTAGCGCACGTTTCGTTGTTATTTCGCGGTTACGCTAGTAAGCCTCTTGGCCTTATCAGATAAGTATCACCCCGGTTAGATTACTGCGAGTCCATCTCTTAGGAGTAATTTTGAAGTGCGTTCTTGCATTCGTTTATTTTTCAAGATTTTGATTCTAGATTGTATTCTAGTCTACGTTTAGTTATCGCCGCAAATGTTTTGTAACTCACGAAGTCCGTGTTTTCTGTTAATTTAGTTTGAGTTAATAAAGGGTCATTATGCACTCTTCTTCTGTGCTAGTATTTAATTCCTGCGCCCGTGCGAGAATTCGCCAGGTTCATTGTAATATTTAAGTTAGTGTATGTGGACAAGTAGAGATAGATCTTACAAAATTATGTCCAAAGGAGCGTTTTTTCTTAATGTTTTGCGTGTTACCTTTATTTATGAAATATCATTTTCCTCGCACTTAAACCATAAAATTCAGTTCAAGAGCAATATAGCATAATAATTTTAAAATGAGCATATCTTTAGAATTTCCGATACACAGTCTCGCGCGCTGGAGATAAAAATGTTTTTTCTGTAAAATGTTGCCATGACTCGCTTTGAAATCCTTGAGTTTATTAATCAAAAATTCGTTAACGTTTTTACAAAATACTAAATCGATAATAAAATAGATTCCAAATTCGGGCTTTTAGATGCGCATATTCGCAGTAGGATTACATCATTCAAAACTGGATGGCTCTAGGTACCGTCGTTTTATCACAATGCGAGAATATACATACATTGATGCAGATTTCTCATTATTTAATTTCTTGAAATATAACGCAGGACTCTAACTTTGTGTGGCAACAGTTTGAAAAGTGAAACGGACATTTGTAGTGAATCAACGTAAAATCGCAAAATAATAGTCCTTCAGGGACAAAGCCCTTTTGGACTAAAAATGCACGTGTTATCATAATCCGGGCCTCGGCGATCAGAATTGAACGCCATATTTGCTTAATAAACATATTTCCTAGCCATCGATTTATTTATCGTCTGTTATTCTTTTCAGGCGACCGACCGAGGGGTTTCATGGAGAACCTGGCGACGACGATCCTCAACAATGTCCAGGTGAGTAGAGCGTAACGACTCCGGGGAGGGCCGCCCCATCACCGCTGTGCCGCATTCGCGACACCCAGGCATCTTAATGGGGCGAAAGTTTTGGGGCGGCCCCGACACGTGTTTGTATACTCTCTTTCCGAAATTGAAAATGCCAGCGTGCACTTGACGGTCTCCCAACACATCAGTTATTGTTTTTCTGCGTTTCAAACGAAAACTTTCTCGTCACGAATGACTGACCCATGGGAAGTAGAACGGTTACGGGTTCGTTTGAAGTGTGTCGGCTATTAACATACCTGGGAGTAGACATAGAATGTTTTTAAACAGCTTAGGTTTAAGAATCAAGGAATCTTAATCTTAAAAACGACGCATTGTTCTTAATTTTTTACTTTGAAGTATAAATAAGTTCATTATTTTTTATTTTTTTAAATTCCTGTTATTAGCTCACACTCTCCCTATATCTTGTTCAAATTTTCAATCGTTAATCGTTTAAATCGTTTCAATCATTAATAAAATAATCGTTAATCGTTTAAATCGTTTCAATCATTAATAAAATAATCGTTAATCGTTTAAATCGTTTCAATCATTGATAAAATAATCGTTAATCGTTCAATAGTTTTCAATCATTAAAATTAATAAATCGTTAATTTCAATCGTTGTTAAATATTCAATCCTTAATAATAATCCCTTCTATTCATCCACTCAAGTTCAAATACATTTTTTTAACTTGTAGTGGATGATACTGGATATTAATACGGTTTTTTCACATATTAAAGTCAATTCCTACTTGTTGATCCTGTTTATCGGAACTAAAGATAGGCTGTTTTTATTGAATATATTATAAGACATACAAATAATGACCTTTTATTGAGAATTCTCACGTGCTGTGAAAAGTAATTTTATAACAACTTATAAAAAGTAGTACCCGACTGTGATCAATAGGATCGTAATATTTAACAAAAATAAGTGGAAACAGCAAGACAGAGTTCTAAAGATTAAAGTGTACGAAATTAAAGAATTATAGTTTTATAGAGTTGGAAGAAGCGATGCCATATCCTATTATGTAGCGAAAATTCTCCCCATATTTCTGTGTTAACGTGATAATAATATATAAATTTGGCAATAATGGTGTTCACAGAATCGAGCGAATATCAATGCCATTCCCCGCCAAACGCAGCTAAAGTACTGCTGAACGAAGAATGCTACCATTAATACTATCATGGCCAACAACAGTACATAAGATGCAAGGTAGCACTGTACATTATGCAGCAATATATCTAGGACTGAAAGCTCTTCGCAGCAGGTCAAGCATATATCGCCTTGACGCATGTGAAATCGTCAGATGGAATATTAATTGAAGAACTGGACTGCTCGAAACTCACTGGAAAGGTTCCTTGCAATAATAAACCATTATAAGAGATGGATAGAATGAGAAATTATAGAACTTAAATTAGAAATTAGAAGCAAAAAAAATGTTTAATAATGTTAATAAAAAGTAACTAAAATAAAATTTTTCATTGTTGACCTAAGTAGGAATTAACTTTATAAAAAAGTTTTTTATATAACTTCTTTTAATAGAAGATGCTTAAGAGTATAAATTTAGACAAATTATTTCTTAAATGTCATCAGGCTAATAAAAGCATAATAAAATCATTTAATGTTACCATTGTAGAGTTATTACGTTAACTCTACAATGCAGAATAGCATTGTAGAGTTCAGCAGGCAAGATGAAAAATGAGCAATGCCTTCGCCGGGAATCGAACCATGGACCTCTGAAAATACCGACTCAACGTGCTGACCGCTACAACACGAAGGCAGCCTAAGAAGGCGGGAGAAATACCTTTTATACTCCCCCTTTTAAAGGGCGACTGGGGATTTTAAGAAACCCAATCGCCAAATGCTGGTTGAGAAATATCATCATCAAACACTTTTTTAGTTCTGGCGCCACTATAGAGACATTAGGTAATTTGGAAGCAGTAAAGATGAAAAATTAGCAATCTTCTTCGCCGGGAAACGAACCACGGACCTCTGAAATACTGGCTCAGTGTGCTGACCACTACACCACGAAGGCACGCTAGGAAAATAGGAGAAATACCTTATACCATCAAACCATCATCATTTAATGTTACTAAGATAGCCGTGGACAAATTCGATCAGTTACTGTCCGTTGTATGTAAATGTAAGAATCGTTTCTAGATGAAAGTAATTTTCCTTTTTTCTAGGTTTCCTTGCAAAATGTACACATCCGATATGAAGATGGCGTGTCGACAGGCGATCCCCTCGCATGTGGCCTAGTACTCCAAAATCTGACGGCGGTTACCACAAACAACAAGTGGAAAGCCACACAGATAGATGCAGATGCAAAAAGTCTCTTCAAAGTAAGACACTTCTTAATCAGCCTCCTTAGATTAAGACGATCATTCTTCTACAGGGTGTATGAGTACATGCTACGGAGGACGTGGGCACCAACCCTCTACCAATACGGTTAATCGGTATAGCGCCACGTCCACCTTATCTAGATAATCATTCAGAGGCCACACGGACGCCTCGCACCGTTCAGAGTAAGTTAAATGATACAGGATGTTACGAGATATACGATACAAGTTGCAGAAGATACTAATGTATGCAGATGCCAAGATACATGCATGATACAAGGCTCAGAATAAGTTACATGATACAGGATTTTACGAGATAATATATGCAGATGCCAAGATACATACATGATACAAGGTGCAGAATAAGTTACATGATGTTACGAGATTATATATGCAGATGCCTAGATACATGATACTAAGTGCAGAATAAGTGCATGATACAGGATGTTACGAGATAATATATGCAGAGTCCTGCATTATATTTGAATAAATTAAATAATGAAAAATCTGCATAAATGTATGTATATTTCTTGTATTGTGATGTGTTAATCAGAAATTTGTTAACGTTTTACAAAACATGAAATCTATGATAAAAAAAGTTCCAATTTTGGGCTTCCAGATGCCCATATTCGGGTGGAGACATACGTTATTCAAATTTGGATGGCTCTAGGTTCCATTACTTTATCACAATGTGAGAAACATACATACATTTATACAGATTCTTCATTATTTCATTTCTTTTAATATAACACAGCGCGGTAATATTTGGTGGCAACAATCGGAAAAGGAAACGGACATGTAAGGTTTTCAACGCAAAATGCCAAAACGAAATTAATAGCTCTTCTGGCTGAAAAGAGGAAAAATAGGTGCGGAAATATGGTACCACTGTAATTGCTTAAGTTGCGAAATATTCTAGAGAGTTTTATTTCTTAGAGTGTTCTTTCATGTTGCAATGTAAGAGCAACACAACAGTAAAGGCAAACATAAATTAAATCTGCAATCAATGTAGCTTCACAGAACACGTGATGGAATTTTCGTTGCAACTACCGTTTATTCGTGATTGTCTGCAAGCTGAAAGCTGTGCCTCACTTTATGTTGTACCACTCCATAAAAGACATAATTAAATAACTTTTCGTGTTCTGTTTTTGGACGCCTTGTTTTGACCTGCATTTTACAAAATTATATTTATCAAAAGCAGTAGTTCGTAAATATTCTTTTTAGGCGATTCTCAAATTTTTAAAAAGAAAAACTCGGTCATGCCCATTTCCTTTACACATAATGCCTTCCGTCTGTCTTGGGACATTTGTGCTTTTCAAAATTTTTGTGCAAGTATGAGTTCTAAATGTTAGCAAGATTTCTTTGTTTTTCTTTTAGGTTTTTCTAATGATCACCATTAATAAAATCTCCTTGTTTTAAAAAAATGTGTTCAAAACGTGTTTGATAAAATACTAGTAATAATAATAAAAATTTGAAAGGTTTCAGATTCTAAATTACGCCCAAATGGTCGTTTATTTAACGTTTTGTATGTTAGCTTTATTTATTAAATATCATGTTCTTTTCACTTAAACCATAAAATTCAGTTCAACAGCAATGTCACAAAATAATTTTTAAATGAGCATGTCTTTAGAATCTCCGATACGGAGTCTCGCCCGCTGGAGATAATTTTTTTTTGGGGGGGGGTGCACAGTGTTGTTATTGCTCGCTTTCAAATCGTTGAGTTTGTTAATCAAATATTCGTTAAAGTGTTACAAGATATGAAATTGATAATAAAACTATGTCCACATTCGAAATTAGGGCTTCCAGATGCCCATATTCGGGTGGAAACGTACTTTATTCAAAATTCGATGACTCTAGGTATCATCGTTTTATCACAATGCGAGGAACATACATACATTTATGCAGATTCTTCATTATTTAATTTTTTTAAATATAATACAGGGCTCTAATATTGGGTGGCTTTGATTCAACTATTTTTTTTTCACGCAAGAATGTTCCATTTTATTCCAGTCCTCCTTAAGAATATATTTTAATGAGTCTTTCGAAGAAATATTAAGTTTCTTTCTCTTTTTTTCAACTCAGTCATACATGTTCATACATGTAGATTTAAGTTTGAAGAATATGAAGAATTGTCCACAACTTTAGGACAGATGTATAAAAATCACAAGTGAACATTTTAGGGCTGTATGTTTGGGATCGTTTATCCTGAACAGGATTTTCGTATTCCAAATATTCTTGCAGATGCTTTCAGGTTTTCACTAATAAAACATTTCGGATGAAAATTTACTCAAAAAACTTGTGACTTAAAAGAAAAAGTAGTCAAAATAAAATAATTTTATCCCCCACGCTCTAGAGTGGTGCCATTTTGGAAAGCCTAAGATACTCAACTTTAATTTAAAATTTAATCTATGAGTTACTAATCTAAAAATTTATGTCATTTAAAAGTAATAGGGGCTGTTATTCATGTCTGTTATTATTAATTACTAGCTGGAACCTTGAAATTACAATTGGTGAGTTTATTAAAATTATTATGCACCTCTTCCTTTTTATTTCCTTGTACGAAGTAAAGGAAGTAATATAATCGGGAAAAATTCCGGGTACCATATAAATACGTTTTTCACGTGTTTATACTAGAAACACATAGTTCTAAAGTGATAAACGTAGGACGCAAGCAAATATTATTTACGATTTCGACGTTTATTAAAAAAAAGAGTTCAAGTAGTGGAGCTGGTGCCATTTTCACATTCTTATATTCAACCTTTTGCACCATTTTGCGCTAATGCAGATTCAGCCATATTGTATCCTGTGTGTCTCACCAACCTCACTTAAATTTTTTTTTTTTCTACTACACAGTCAATGGAACGTTTCCCGTCTTCATTGGCGGATTCTAAAATAATGAAAGAATAAAAATAGAAATAAAATAAAGGATCTGAATTTCATAGACAGCCAACACATCTGAATCGATCGTGCTGAAAATGACTCTTTTTACTTCCTTGTACGAAGTAAAAAGGAAGTATTGTAATCGCGAAAAGTTTCAGGCAGCATATTTCAACGAAAATATCCATTTTGACCGCTGTCAAATGCAATTTAACGATGCTTTTGCGTGACATCTGTACGTAGGGACGGAATAAAGAACTCTATTTCTCCAAACGAATTATGAAACTGATTTAAAATGGATTCAAAAGAGATTTTTCGTGCCGTCTGTACATACGTATGTACGTATCTCTCATAACTTCAAAATGAATAGCCTCAGAACGTTGAAATTTTGTGTGGGGGCTGGTATAACATGTACATGTGCACTTCCCATTTTGGTTGCAATCGGCCTCACCAAAAGTCTATATACCCACACTGTTACTCGGCTCGGTGCTCTCAGATGTTTTAATCTTATATATTTTTAAATTGCACATTTTTTGCTTTAAAAATCATTCGCCAAATCCTAGTGGTGAAGATTCATCATCCACCCCACTTTTCGTAGTTCGGACGCCATTGCAGAGACATTAGGTAATTTTTGGAAGCAGGAGATGTGAAAAACGCCTTTGCTGAGAATCGAACCGCGGACCTCTGGAATACGCGCCCAGCGTGCAGACCACCACACCACGAAGGCATGCCAAGAAGGCGGGAGAACCTTATAAGTCATCCAATAGTGGTATTGGGAGATGCAAAACGTGTGGTGGTTGAGAAATCAATTAGGCTAAGATTTTGGTTCGCCTGTAGTAAGCTTAATTAACAGTTAATTAATTCTGAAGTAGATACTTATTTGTGACGGGCAAAATATCTAAAGGGTTTCGCCACTGTTTTTAAATTACATCTTCTTAACCTTAATTATTTTCATTAATCATTCCATAGCTTTTTTTTTCCTTTTAAAATCGTATATAATAGTCGTAAATTTATTTCTATTATCCATGATTTCTGGTGAAAACTAGATGGTCGCTATTTTTGTAACACGCAGCTTCGTCGGAAATCTTTATGATAACCATTTTTCAAAACGAGGTATTTGGCACGCTTCGGCGCCAAAAAATTTCCCCAAATTTTGAAAGGAGGCTATTTTGAAGCTATTCCGTGAATTTCAAATAATGTATTTGTTCTATTCTGGTTTATGCGCTATCGAGGAAGTAGATTTAATTCAATCCAATAAGTTTCAATGAAATGCAAAAAAAATGCGTTTACTCTTCCGTACAAGGAGGTCACGTGGTGTACACATCAGATTTTTTATAACTCTTTAAAGTGGCTGATCGTGCAATCGGCTACTTATAGTAATAATAATTATTTTATTAAGTGTGTAAGATCTTCACTTAGTGCAATTCTCAGTTACTGCAGAAAGTGACGAATCTTAAGAACTGGTTAGCGAATAATCGCTTAAGTTCGTGTGGCAAGAAACAACAAGATGGAAGGGTAACTAACTCTTTATTATTCCAATAAGATTTAACAAAACTCCGTCTTGGAGTGTACAATCAAAGCCGACACTTGGGCTTGAACTTAAGAGACTAAGAAATAAACTAAAACTAAGATTAATTAAAGAAATATAGCCGAAGCTATCATGTTTCTAATGCAGTTGGCCCCTTAAACACCCGATGACCGCGAGCTTTGAGAGAGAGAGTGGCCAAAAAGCAGACGCGCGTAAATCAGAAACTCTGATTCTCTCTCGCTAAGATCAAAGAACTTCGCGGTTAAATGCTGCTCTTCCTCATTATGTATTCAGACGTGATTCTAAAACTACGTTTTGACCCGAAGTAGTAAGTTGAAGTTAAGAATTTGACAGGAAAGGAACTTAAAATTTAACTGTTAATAAAATTAACATAATCCTTACAAGGGTATCTTCTTGCTTGTGACTAGCAATAATTTTTAGTAGGTAATTCATGTTTTCACAGAGATACGAAATTAAAAATGAATTTTATTTTTCAGCTTTTGAAGGTAGAATCTTTGTCCTTGTATTGGAACCCACGGTGCCCGGCAAACACACTAGTCAAAGCACAGCTTAATTCGGACGGTTGGAAGGTAAGTGATTCTATTTATTTCTTTTATTCTTTTCCTTTTCCTGCTTCTTGTTCTTTGTTCTTAAACAAAAATATAATTAGAGAAATTTTTCGGGACGCTTTCGTGGTAAACAGAAGCGGAGAGGTTATCTGACCAGTGTAGTCATTTACTGATCAATCTACACAATGATCAATTTCTGGATCCAAGATCAATGTTTCAAACAATGATAAATTTGCGTAGGGTGCCTGGACCTTTATGCAAATTGATCAATGGTCACCAAGTCCAAAGGTGCCTCAGCATTAAGACGGAAATGTGTCCCGGGGATCTTTATGAATTATTAATTTTTAGTAGTAACATTTGAACCTATGAACTTACTTCATTGACTAGAGTGTGAACACATGAAATAAAATAAATACACTCAATAAAAACACATGAAAAGAGCAAAATGCAAAAAATTTGGAGCACAAATTAGTCAGAAGGAAAAGTTAAACAGTCTGAAGATCTTGAAGCCTCTCTTTTGCCTGCCAGTATCTGTCATATAGATGTCCAGTTACTTTAGGGCATTCCTTTAGATGAGAAGCATCCATAACAGTGCTTGGCCCGCATAATATACAGTTAGGGCACGAAAAGATTCCAGATCTAAATAAATGGCCCGCAAGGCAATCATGCCCAGTCTGTAACCGAAAGGCTGCAACAGTGATTCGTCTGGGGTCAGTAGGCATTTTTAAAAGAAAATCCCTTCAATTTCTTTAATTTGTTCTGCTCGCCTGGATCGAAAGTCATTACTCATGCTTTCCTTTGTTATTCGCAGTACAGTAGAATAAGGGATAGGATTCGATGGAATCTGTAGGAATTTGGTTCGTTTTTTAGCTGAAAAGTCAGCCATTTCATTACCAAATGTTCCACAGTGAGCCAAAACACACTGTAAAATAACTTTTTTACGTAAGGTTTGTAACGTACTTAAATTAGATACTTTGCGAGTTGGCAGTTTCAAAGAGATAATATAATTGTATATACTGTATTGTAGATATAGAATCTGACAAAATAACTGCATCGTCAAAACTCTGAGTTCAGTTGCTGAGAAGCGAATCTACTGGCAGAGCCGTGCAAGATATTTTTTCACCTGAGACCAAAGGTGCCTCCCCTCTCTCTATATATGTATATAAATACGTTTAGATTTATATGAAAAGAAGAGGTTAAAAACCTAGTGCCGTAAAGAACATTTGAATGTCCTATCTCATTCCTGATATTTACATGTAAAACAATGCCAAATCATCTAAATCAAAGTTAAATCAAAATATGTACGCGAAAAAAAAACCTTTTCAATCCACATAAAACAGAAAAATTGTACAATAAAATCTAAAAACGTACGCGAAAAAGCCTATTCAATCTACATAAAATAGAAATATTGTACATATAAAAACATGGTCAATCTTCTCTGTTCAAAGTTTCAAACAGAACTTATCAAGGGAAAAGTGCTTGAAGCCCTCAAGTTGATTAACCCATAAAAACATGCAAACATGTTTCATCGAACGAACACATTGAGGCTTTCCTTGTAATTTGTGTTAAACAAAAATGTATTAAATCAAAATATCATAATTCTTATAGCATAATTATACGATAATTCTTAAAGTATTTTTAATGGCAGCTCTATAAATTCAGAAAAATAATATAGTCCATTATTTATAACTTTCAAATCAAAACGTTAAAAAATTCTTTTTTGATAAATAAGAAATAACATTGAAATGCACATTGCATTAATTTGCAGGTTTTCTTGCAATTCTTCCTGTTTCTTTATTAATTTAAGTTTTGCCGAAGGTTATTTCCCCTAATAATAACTGACAACTTTAAACATAAGTAATTCATAAGTAATTACATCTAAAATAATTTTCATAATAACATAAAGTAATTTTCTAATTTGTATAAACAATTTGGCGTTTCTTCTAGTGATTATTCACCTGAGGCACCCTCACCATTGTAACCTTCGTAACGAATGATGAATTTTAATGATATTAACCATTTTTATGAATTAATTTTGACAGAGGACGATAGTCGTTTTCGGTTCGGGTAGAATAAAATCTGAGTTGGCAGGAAGCTGAATGAGAGTGAGCCGTACATATCAGAGAAAGGGCTTCGACAGTCAGATTGGCTGAGTCACGAAAATCGCAGTAGCGTTCTGTGTTTCCATATTTCTGCTATTTAATTAAAAAAATATAACAAGAATACTCCGTTCCCTAAGGTAAGGTATAGGGTTTCCATTAGTTTAATTAACCAATAATTGAAATTTTTCTTATCTTTCCCGAATCCTTAACTTCCCCTCGCATTTCCTCGCCAGGATGCTAACTTAAAAGCGAGGTTTACGTGAAGTGAGTATTTAAACGGGTGAATCTTTGAGCTTAATCAGAGCGTCTTTTCGCTAGCCAGCATACGCTACGCATCTGTCATTGCTGTTACACGGAGTTGCTGATACGGCTATTGAGCCAATTAAATAATTATCACTTCGGGTAAGTTGTCGAGTCAACCTAGATTAGCCGTAACTTAAAGTGCTAGACCAGCACTTCTCTTTAGCCTTGAATTGGTTGTGTAACGATTCTTTTGTTCCACCGGAAGTTGTCGGTGTTATTGTACGTGGCCTCTGTTCATAAATGAAATAAATAAAGGGTTATTTTCACCCTTCTTTCGTGCTGGTATTATTTCACGTCTGTACGAGGTTCCTTAACCCCTTAACTGCCGCGGGCGTATATATACGCCTTGCTCAGCCGATGCGTTAACTGCCCCAGATGCGCCCAGATGCGCAGCCGATGCGTTAACTTTGCGAATAATTTTAGGTGTAGCAGCGCAAAGCAAATGATAGCAGTTTGGAAGGACGTATATATACGCCTGGGGCAGTTAACGCATCGGCTGAGCAAGGCGTATATATACGCCCGCGGCAGTTAAGGGGTTAATAGGATCTAGATTAGTTTATGTGAGACCAAAGAGAGTGAGATCCTATAAAGGGATCTTAAAAGGTACTATAAGGTTCCGATTTAATTCTTCGAAAGGCAGTGGTTACCTACAGTAACAACATTTTCTATTGAACGGCTTACTCACTCGTAAAAGTGGTTTTCAAGACTGACCCTTTCTGCAGTTCCCTTGTAGCTCACTAGATGGCAATAAGAAACATAAGCCAGTAGTTGATGCAGCAATTCGTCTTCAAGAAAATAAGCATTAGCCATCAAAAACAACATCACGACGATGCAGCACCAAGAAAAAGCCTGTAAGAACAGTGTGGGAATGCAGCACCAAGATAAAGCTTGTAAGAACAATGTGGGAATGCAGCACCAAGAAAAAGTCCGTATCAACAGTGTGGGAATGCAGCACCAAGAAAAAGCCTGTAAGAACAGTGTGGAAATACAGCACCAAGAAAAAGCCTGTAAGAACAGTATGGCAATGCAGCACCAAGAAACGCCTGTAAGAACAGTGTGGGAATGCAGCACCAAGAAAAAGCCTGTAAGAACAATGTGGGAATGCAGCACCAAGAAAAAGTCCGTATCAACAGTGTGGGAATGCAGCACCAAGAAAAAGCCTGTAAGAACAGTGTGGCAATGCAGCACCAAGAAAAAGCCTGTAAGAACAGTGTGGCAATGCAGCACCAAGAAACGCCTGTAAGAACAGTGTGGGAATGCAGGACCAAGAAAAAGCCTGTAAGAACAATGTGGGAATGCAGCACCAAGAAAAAGCCCGTATCAACAATGTGGGAATGCAGAACCAAGAAAAAGCCCGTATCAACAGTGTGGGAATGCGGCATATTCAAAGTTGCACTCTGCTTGAAAAGGAAAAACTGTTTCCATCAGTACCATAGAGACTGATTTGTAAGGATGTGTTCTGTGGGCGGCGGTCACTGGGGCTAACCACCAGAAGGGGCCATTTTTTTCACGCGTATTGGACAAAATATGTGTAATTGTCGCAAATAATTTCATTGTAACACCTGACAGAGTAAACGAAACAAGAGATTTGCTGTAAAACAGTTGCCTTTTCCTGCCCCTCAAAGCCTTCTTCCACTGAGGGCTCAAATCATATAGGGTGCGGCAGCGTTCATAGTAGGAAATTAAAAGCACACCATAAGGCAGTACCTGTAATTTATTTATTACCTTTTATGTCAATTAATAGTTAAAGGTATTAAGACACAATAACACGCCGAACAAATAATAATTCAGACGTCAAAGAACAAAAATCAGCGTTATATTTTCAAAATTTTCACAGGACTAGTTTCGATGGTTTTACCGAACCATCATCCTCAGCTGCAAAACCGCAAATGAACGAGATAGGATATAATGATTAGATAAGATAAGAAAACCTGGACAAGAGTAAGCAAGTGGCGCCATCTGTTGATGAAACCAGAACGTAAACATAATTTCTAACATAGACATTCTATATTACTGGAGGCATATGTTAGAAAAAAGGAAACACAGAAGTCTTCTGTTGCTCAACATTGTTGGTCCGAAAATCACATTTTCAATTTTTCTGCAGCCAAAATTATTCAAAAAACATCTTCCACTGGAGAACTAGATTTTTCTAGAGGCATTTCATATTCAAAAAAATACTTCTGTTCTAGTTAACGATCCTAATTCCAATCCATGTTTGCCTTCGGCCTTTAAAGAAATTATGTTTTAGTTCTGGTTGCTTCAACAGATGGCGCCACTTGCTTATTCTTCTCCAGGCTTTCTTATCTTATCTAATCATTATATCCTATCTCGTTCATTTGCGGTTTTGCAGCTGACGATGGTGGCTGGGTTAAACCATCGAAACTAGTCCTGTGAAAATTTTGAAAATATAACTCTGACTTTTGTTGTTTGACTTCTGAATTAGTTAAAGGTATGCCATTTACTAATGAGTAAGTCATTCTTCATTGTGTGGATTAATTTTTGAATATGATGCCCGCTCTGCGCAACACACTCATCTAGGCGGCGTTGGAAGCTTCCCATAACTCGGAGTAACGTATTCCCTGGGACATTGCCGACGGCAGTTCGGATGCGATCCTTCAACTCAGGAATGGTGGCACTACGTGTTCGGAAAACGTCTTGCTTCAGATGCTCCCAAAGGTCAGCATATGAAAGCTCAGGTGAGCGAGGCGGCCAGGAAATGTCACCAAAACGAGAAATTACTCTATCTGGAAATGTCTGTTGCAATGGTCCGTCCGTCTGGAACTTTCTCATAACGTCCCAAGTTGAAATGTTGCCGAAATCGACGGGGTAGCAATAACAGAGTAGTTATTCTTGAAATAACTTTCAGCAGCAAAGGCACGATCCCGTGCACTCCAATGATCCATATCACTGTCACACTCGAAATGGCAGCTCATTAGTACACGAATGCGGCACGAGCTGGCGCGCATTCGTGCAGTACGTCATTGTGCCCCGCAAGTCAAATTACGCTATGAACGTTGCCGCAACCTATATTTAATTTATATCAATTTTCGTTTTTCCGGTGACTCATGATAATTCTTTTTTCAGACTCTGCTTCGGAAAGGACTCGCCACTTTTAGCATCAACGGAGAAGATTTTGACTTTGGTAAGTCTTATGTTATTTGTAATCTACAGCACGGCTTAGTTTTATAACGAGTTTACAGTTTTCCTAAATGCAAGTATAGGAACTAAACGTAACCTGGAAAAAAAAAAAAAAAAGTTTTACTTGCGTTTTTTATGTCTCGAAAGCGCGACTTAGGATATATATTTGATATTTACACAAAACTGTTCTAGTGTAGTTATTTTATCACAAAATCGGACTTTTTCTGATAGAACATACCATTTTTTTCACATTTCGATTCTATGACTCAAATTATGCCTATATATTAAAAATTTCGCAAAATTTGGTGAGAAATTTACGGAGAAATTCATTAATTTATATTTTTTCGAAATTTCGCTAAGAATAATTGGTACTTTTCCGTTTTGCCAGCGCAAGCGATAAAGTCGCCAATAATGACACAACTGATGCCAAACGGAATATCCTCGATGGTAACCTTGTAGAGTCATTAGGATTTTTTTAGAGGCAGAAAAGATGAAAAATAGCAAACGCTTTCGCCGGGAATCGAACCACTGACCTCTGGCATACCGGCCCAGCGTGCAGAACCACTACACCACGAAGGACGCTAGAAAAGTGGGAGAAATAATAACCTTTCACGCCTCATTTTCAAAACAAATCACAGCCATTTCTTATCAGATTGATTGTTTCTTTCGTAGTACAATTACATATGATTTTTAACCGGATTGTTCAATTTTATGTCCTAAAGCCATTCGCAGTAATTAAGGCAATTAGGATGCAATCACACCGCTCACTCGAAGGCGAAAATATACAAAAGGGTTAAATTCATCCATTCTAATGAGAATGCACTAGCGAATTAAAGCACTGCGGTTTTACATATTTTCTGAGTAAGCTATTCGTACGAGTAGATATAATTCTTATATTTAAACAAAAACATAAATTCTGTTTATTCACAAATTCTACCCTTTCTTTTGCACTTAATTTCTGAAATTTAGGACAATTAAAATGCTTGTGATTGCTCAAATTACATAACCTACACGAATTCGGCATATGCTTTTCATTTGCATTAGAAACGACAGCGGTAACTCTATGTGTAACTTTTTTTTGTGTTAGTCACACTATTTGAAGCGTTGAGAGTTCTTGCATGATCTTTAAGAAAACTAACAATTCTAAATTAAGATTTAACTTGAAATTAATGTAGATAGTTACTGAGAGAATTACTGAGATTTTTGTAGTGTAGTTTACGTGAGATGAGATGAGATCACTTGGAGTCACGTGATACGAACCGGCGAGTCAGGATGTTGAACCATGAAAGCATAGTAAATTCTTAAATTAATGTCTTTTTACAAATTTATTGGCTTTTTACAAAATTTTAAACGATATTAAAATGTTTATGCCTTCAAAATAAAAAATTCTTATAACTAAAATTTGTTAACATTTGTTATGTGTATACTGTTTGTTGTCGCTTTGTTATGTGTATACTGTTTGTTGTCGCTTTGTTATGTGTATATTGTTTGTTGACGCAAGTTTGCTTGGCGAGATTTGCGCCGGCGAAACGAAAAAGTACCGAATAATTTAGTTGGCGAACTTCTTAATTTATAGCAACCTACTTTTCTTTGCATGAGAGGGGAAAAAAGGGCCCATGGCTCATACTTTGAAATAATTTTACTAAAGTGCTTAAAATGCATTTGCAGTATGCGTATAAAAGTGCGTCAAATTATGTCAAAGTGTCAAGTTTTGTAAAAATCGCATAAATAGTTTTGAAAACATTTGCTCTGTTTTAGCTCCTCCGTTTGGTATATATTTATTAATATCTCTTTTTTATTCAATTTATTTAATTCTTCCTTTCACATTTCGAAATTCAGGTTCATTAAAAAAAAAAAAAAAAAAAAAAAAATCTGATGTGTACACTACATGACTTCCTTGTACGGAATATTAAATTATACGCATTTTTTCTTGCATTTCATTTAAACTTATTCGATTGAATTAAATCTACTTCGCCGACAGCGCATAAACCACAATGGAATAAATGCATTCTTTAAAATTCACTCGAGTATTTGTTTACCATAGCGACACTCTGGCTCTAGATTCACTTAACAGAATTAATAATTATATAACAGTTAACTTATATAATAATTATATAACGGAAACTAAGTTAACTGTTATACAATCCAATAATTATATAACATTTAACTTATATATTTCGTTCATATTATAACTCATAATGCACAAAATTTATATCATTTAAAGAATAGAATTATCTAATCGTTGCCACATGTCCTATTCAAATACTATAATAAAGCTAGAATGATTTATAAAAGAAATTAAGCAAACAAAACAAAAAAGAAACAGTTTTTCACAGACGATTGAGTATTTCTCATTTAATAAATCCAGTTCTCACTTCGCGAGAAGGCAAAAATACATAAAAACTCAAAATATCTATATTAAAAATTACGAAGTAAATCTCAAACACTTATTTCCTCGAAAAAACTCCAGAAAGAATTAAGCATGATTTAACTGGCAATAATGAATGAATGCGTTATCTTTGTTGTTGCGAAGCTAAGTTTCTCTAGATTGGCAACAAATCCACTAGTCCCGTGTTTCAAACGTAAACATCAATGGCCGCCATTAAAAAAAGGCTTAGTGGCATTTAGACAAATTTAAAATTATTGATAATTCTAAAAACACTGCATACAGATTTAATAATTATATAATAATTATATAACGGATTTACTAAAGGCATAAAAACCTTAACCGGAAGATAAAACCAACATAATACAATCATTTTTAAAACTAAAAATGTACAATTTGCAAACATACAAGAGTAAAGAAACTGAGATCACTGAGTCGGGTAACAGAGTGGATATATATATAAATATATTTATATACGTTTGGTGCGGCCGATTGCAACCACAATACGAGGTGCACATCTACATGTTATAGCAGTCCTATACACAAAATTTCAACGTTCTGAGACTATTCGTTTTTGAGTTATGCGAGATACGTACGTACGCACGTACGTACATACGTTCGTACAGACGCCACGAAAAATTCTCTTCAGAATTCATTTTAAAGCAGTTTTATAATTTTTTTGGAGAAAAAGAGTGTTTTATTCTGTCCTTACGTACAATTATCACGGAAATACATCATTAAATTGCATTTGAAAGAGGTCAAAATGGGATATTTTCGTTGAAATATGCTGCCTGAAACTTCGCGATTACAATACTTCCTTTTTCCTTCGTACAAGGAAGTAAAAAGGAATTATTGTAATCGCGAAAAATTCCATTTCAACGAAAATATCCATTTTGAACGCTATCGAAAGCAATTTAATGATGTGTTTTGTGTGAAATCTGTACGTTGAAATTTTGTATATAGGACTACTATAACGTATAGATGTGCACCTCCTATGTTGGTTGCAGGCGGCAGCACCGAAAGTTTATAAATATATGTATATATATGTCCACTCTGTTAACCGGCTCAGTGATCTCAGTTTCTTTATTCTTATATGTTTGTTAACTGTGCATTTTTTGCTTTAAAAATGATTGAATTATGTTGTTTTTATCTTCCGGTTAAGATTTTTATGCCTTTAGTTAACCTGCATGCAAAATTGTGGAATTATCAACAATGTAAAAGTTTTTTTAAGTGCGGCTAAGCCTAATTTTTTATTACTATAGCTGCCATGTTTGTTTACATTTGAAACTTAGCAAAATAGTGGATTTGTTGCCAATTTAGAGAAACTAAACTTTGCAACAACAGAATAACGTCTTCTTTTATTATTGCGAATTAAATTTTGCTTAATTCTTTCTGAAATTATCATTAAAGTGAATAGCCTGTTTTTGCTTAAAAAACTGTAATTTTAATTGTAAAAATTGATTTTTTAAATTGTTTTATCTGTACTTGGCGATTTATGTTTTTTATGCTTTTGAATTTGTAATAAAAATGTTTTGAATGTTTATATATTTTTGCCTTGCCGCGAAGTGAGAAATGAATTAATTAATAGCGCATGCGCATTAGGTAAGCGGCGCTGAATCGTCTTTGAAAATGTTTCTTTTTTATTTGTTTAATTTCTCTTATACATCGTTTTAGATTTATTATAGTCTTTTAATAGAACATGTGGCAAAGATTAGATAATTCTTCAGATGATATAATTTTGTGCATTCTGAGTTATAAAATGAATGAGATGTAACGCTCTTAAGTGAACGTAGCGAAGTTTCGCTATGGTAAATAAATATAGTGAACTTTAACCCTTTCCGACACGCTACCATTTAAAGTCGGAGTTTTTGATAAAAAAAAGGTAGTCAGCCTAATTAGGCTTAGAGGAGAACACAAGTAAAATTTTGTGAAGATAGCCCTTATCGTTTTAATTCTGGGGCACACTGATTGAATAGAGCTTCGAAAAGAGTGCTGAAACGTCAACAGCATTGTTGTCAATGAACTGACCGATGAGATGCGGAGAAACAAAGAATACAGACTCTCAGTTGCCCTAGATGATCGGTGAGCCCGGTCTGAGCACACCTAAGGTTCTCCGTTTGATTTTAAGCAAGATTTCGAGGCAAAAATTTAAAAATAATACAGAATAAGGAGATTGGCACACAGCCAAAAAATGACATAGAAATTTCTTACAAACATTCCTTTATACCCTAAAAAATCTGGAAGTTTCGTTGAAAAATGAGGGCTTAAAAAACTAAACATGGCTAAAATATATGGACTGGTTTGCGCTGAGCTGCCATCTACTATAAATAGAGAAGGTTCAGAATAACTTATAGTTACCTATAAATCCTTTTTCATTCAATGTTTCTGTACGTACAGAAGGACATTTTTAGGTGTGTTCAGACCGGACACACTGTGCCGCAAAGGGTATTCTATTGTGGTTTATGCGCTATCGAAGGAGTAGATTTAATTTAAAATTCGTTCACTGTTAATTCAATATGTTTAAATGAAATGCAGGAAAATGGCGTATAAGTTAATATTCCATGCAAGGAAGTCATGTGGTGTACACATCAGATTTGTTTTTTCTCAGTGTATGTGTGATATGTTGGATTTCGTAATATTTACAAGACTCATTGCTTTACATTTACCAATCTTAGCATAATTGAAAACATTTTTGTCTTTCGTATATATTTATTTATATGTTTCATATCGCTAATTTATTATTTTTTGTGTGTTTATTTTTTAGTTGTGAAACCTGTATCTTTGAAAACCAAAGTTATTTTGAATAAATCCAAAGAAGCCAAAGTTCCAAAACTACTCCTCGATTTTGTCTTACAAGATGCAGCTTCTCAACTGTCCAGGGACCAGGTAATATATTGATTATTTTCTTTTCATCTCACCGAAATTAAAGAAATTTTTTGATTAGTCGTCATGCAATAAATGAAATGGATTTCATAGCAATTATTTCTATATTGAGGAGGGAAAAAATATCACCAAGTTTTTCGGCATCCAAAGACTTTGTTTCCAACTTTTTCTTGTATCGATCTCCTTCTAGAGAAAAGATTTTCTTCACTAATCTTTCCTCGGCCTCTTGCATTGGTTCAGTATTAATGTCGGTTCACCTTTCAAGTTGTTGCCACCAAATAGTAGAGCCCTGTATTATATTTAAAACCTCTTACAATTTTTTTTTCAATTTTTATGAAAATACTTAATATGTATAAATATTAAAAATAATATTACGTATAGACAAAATTTTATTTTTATAAGAATATATAATTAATTATTATTTTATAACAATACATAATAATAATACTTGTATATTACATAAAAACTAATTGTATAACGTGTATTATGAAATGTATATGTAATATGAATAATAATATGTATATGTAATTTGAACATGTATATGTAATATAAATGCATATATTGCGTACACATTATACAAGTAATTGTACTCAAGTAGCTTAAAGACAAGGCATAGACTATGAAAGTTAAAAAAAAGGGGGTTGTTAGGTTTATGTTTAATAATTTTTAGCCCAAAAGGCCAATTTGCCCAGAAGGACTATTAATTTCGTTTTGGCCTCTTACATTGGTTCAGTATTAATGTCGGTTCACTTTTCAAATTGTTGCCAACAAATATTAGAGCCTTGTATTATATTTAAAGAAATTAAATAAGGAAGATTCTGCATAAATCTACGTATGTTTCTCGCACTGGGATCAAACAACGGTACCTAGAGCCATCTAGTTTTGGATAACGTACGTCTCCACCCGAATATGGGCATCTGGGAGCCCAAATTTGGAATTTGTTTTATTGTCATATAAGGTATTTCTCCCAATTTCCTAGCGTGCCTTCGTGGTGTTGTGGTTCTGCACGCTGGCCTTATTGAGAGGTCCGTGGTTCGATTCCCTGCGAAGGCGGTTGCTAATTTTTATCTTTTCGGCTTCCCCCCCCAAAAAAAATCCTAATGATTCTACAAGTGGCGCCCGAACTAAAAGTGTGTTGGCTGAGGTTTCCCCACACCCTAGATTTGGCGATTGGGTCCCCTGAAAACCCCAGTCACCCTTTAAAAAGGGGAGTATATAAGGTATTTCTCCCAATTTCCTAGCGTGCCTTCGTAGTGTAGTGGTTCTGCACGCTGGGCCGGTATTCCAGTGGTCCATGGTTCGATTCTCGGCGAACGAGGTTGCTAATTTTTCATCTTTTGGGCTTATGTATTAAAAAAATCCTAATGTCTCTACAGCCTGTTTCATATTTTGTAAAGTATTTATGAGTTTTTGGTTAAGAAACTCGATGATTTCAAAGCGAGCCATGGCAACACCGTACGGGAGGGATTATCTGCAGCGCGCGAGACTGTGTATCGGAAATTCTAAAGATATGCTCTTTTAAATGTTGTGATATTGCTGTTGGATTTAATGTTATGTTTTAAGTGGGAAGAACGGGATATTTAATAAATAAAGGTAACACACGAAACATTAAAGAATCACCTCTTTGGGCGTAATCTCAGTAATTTCTTTACCCCTACCCCTGAATTAAAGTTTTTTTACTCAATTTAATACAGTATGCAATTCAGAATCTCGTTATTTTGTACGTGCTTTGACACCGCCCAACTGTAGTGGTTAGCGTTGCTGACGGGCGTGCGAAGGGTCGGGTTCGAATTCCCAGAGGCGTAATGGCAAACTGCACATTCAGTTGAAACGAATTTCGGGTACTGCGCATGCCCAGAAGAGAATTTGGCGCAATTACGACTTTGGTACAATTTTAAAGGGAGATAAATACGGTGTGTGGTTGATATTCTTTTCTGGGCGTACAGTCGAGAGTTTGAAACTTCTAATGTAAGTTGCTTCATTCTTTGAGGTTAAATATGGATGCAATTGCGCACATTTCGTTAAGAAGGATACAAATTGGAACTACAAGATATATTAGTTGAACCTTTATTGATTATACTTCTGAGAATAAAAGCAATTGCGTATTTACCATACGTGCCCTTCGTATATACTTTAACAAAAGAGAAAAGCCATTGAAAATACTGAATTAAGTCAGGAATTATTATAAATAACGATTAAACCTAGTTTATGACAAATAAACCAAATGAACGAAACAGAGCATGCATCAAGCACTAGTGGGATCTCATTACTGTAGAAAGTGACGAATCTTAAAAACTATTTAGCGAATAATCGCTTAGTTCGTGTAACAGAAACCACAAAGGAAGGTAACTAACCCTTTTTATTTCAATTTTACAAAACCCACTTGGAGTACACTAAAAGCCGACACTTGGCTGAACTTAAGACTAAGAAATGACTAAAATAAGATTAACTAAAGAAATTAGCCGAAGCTACAAGATTTAACGAGTTGGCCCCTTAACGTATTTGGGACGAAGCTTAACAAGAGCCTGAGTACGCCGAGCGTAATCTGCATAATGCGACGGGGCGTGGGCACCATCCCTTACCATTGGGTTAATTGGTACGCGCCACGTCACCTTCTAGAGTTGGCTATTAGACAATGGGAGATTACAAATATTTGATTGGTATTACGAGTGCCAACCAAGAACATACAATACTACATTGAACAAACATTGCACTACATACGTTATCTTACGAGTACTGATATAAATATTGTCAAAGCAATGCGGCATCGGTCATCCATACATGCAAGTACAATTGTTAGAACTGTTACACATGCGTTACATAATATGTAGTACAAGTGCAATTTTGGAAAAGCCAGAGAGATGAAAAAATAGCAACGCCTTCGCTGAAAATCGAACCACGGACCTCTGAAAATACCGGCTCAGTGTGCTGACTCCTACAGAAGAAGACAGAAGACCATCAACAGAGCAACCGCATCATCATTTAGACCTTCGGTTTATCTGCTCTATTGATGGGTGCTATCCATCATCTGCAGCTCAGCGGCAGTTATTAAAACAGTAGTGTACATATTACGTTAAATTGTTAATGTACAAAACATAAATTAGAAAGTTGAACAAATATAGTAACTTTCAATTTAATACTTTTCAAATAAAAATAAAAAAAATATAAGTTAGGTAGAAGTCAACATATAATAGAGTAAGACCATAGAAGAACCATATCTTGTAGAATGTTCATATGTAGGATATCCATACGTATAATGTCTATATGTAGTAAAATTAATAAAGTCATAAAATAAAAAATATTAAGTAGTAGTTGCTGACCCCTACACCACGAAGGTACGCTAGGAAGGTGGGAGAAATATCCTCTAATCTAATGTGGTACTAATCTAATGTGTGTTCTATATCTAAATGTGGTACAGCAAAATATTGATCTTGGGTTTCTAATTCATTGGCCACTGTGTGTACAAGATGAGAGACACACACACACACAAAACGAAACTGGTTCAATAAATCATTATATTTACAGAATCAGTTCTCCGTGACATTGTCACCTTCAAAGTAAGTCACCTCAGCAAATACCAACTTCTGCATTCGTTGCTGCCATTGCTCTTAACAGCTCTGAAGCGAGGTTTTTGTAAGGCCTTTCAAGGGATTCTCCGTTTTTTCCTGAACCTCTTCAGCTGAGGTAACATGGGTTCCCTTTAAGTAAAATTTAACTACGTAAGGAAATAAAAAAAGTCGCATAGAGCCAAATCAGGTGAATAAGGAGGATGCCCCATCATAGTAATGTTTTTGCTTATCAGAAACCGCTCAACAGATAGGGCCATGTGAGTGGGTTCATTGTCCTCATGAAACAACCATCCATCACTCCACAACTGTGACCTTTTTATTACAACATTTTTCACGAAGTTCTTTTAGTACTTTAATGTAGTAGTGTTGATTAACAGTCTTACCACTGGGAACCCATTCAATCATGATCAACTTCCACACTGTCCCGTGCCCCTCAAAACCGCATATACCATTCAAACACACGTGCATGAGACGACGTTTCATCTCGATAACCCTCGGTTAACATTGGAAACGTTTCCTCCTTGGCTGATTTTTTAAGTTTCACAAGAAACTTGATGTTGATTCGCTGTTCGGATTTTACATTAGACATTTTTCTGGCAGAATGCAGTTGCACGTGTTCACTCGATGACGCAGCATTCCCCACTGGCGTGGTCAGTTAATTCGAAACAGGCCGCATGGGTAGAGGCATGACGTCACCGAAACAATTGTTGCCAACTCCACCCTGTTTTCAAGCTATACACTTAGTCTCCTTTTCTTTTGGAGTCACACCTCGTATAACTATTTCGAAATACCGTCTATTTAGTGATGCCATCTGTCGTCTAAAATGCGTATTATTACACTTACTCTCGATTTTTTTTTTGTGTCACACTTCGTATATCTGTTTCGAAATACCATCTATTTAGTGTTGCCATCTGTTGTCTAAAGTGTGTACTATTAATGTAATCTTCTTTCTCTAGTTTGTGAGCATGTACCAACTTGGGAGAGCTTTCGAACTCATGTCTGTCAATCAACGCTTCCGAAAATATTTCCGCGGGCTGTGTGTCCGAGGTCACGCAAGAGATTACTGGAAAGACGCCTACACCGCTGTGCTGGAGGAATACATCAGGCCTTATACTTGGTCCCGGATCCGGGAACACAGGTAAGCCGTCTGGGCAGATATCGTGATAAAAGCATATACCGTGTTTCCTGGAGTATTTTTCTACCTAACTCAGCCCCAGGTTTCGAAATGTTTAAAACATTCATGCAATATTTATATATTAAAATTCATTATTATATATTGATCGTCTGACTTTTAAATGTACACTCACTTCCAAAAGTTAAGCACGGAGAGGAAAATGCTAATTTACACGGAAGCCAATCAGAATTGAAGAGGTTGCAATTCGCTGCAGAGGTAGATGGAAGTATGAAAATATGTTAGGTAACAGCCAATCGCGCTTTCATGTCAGAAATATGCAAAAGGCTTTGCAAGAGCCACTTAGGAAGGTTACAGAAGTTGATTGTAGTGCTGATAGAAAGTGTTTAAACTTTCGTACATTGTTTTCAAGACACGTGTTTCTATGATTTCGTGAAGACGAATGGAAATTCTGAGCGCTGGCGTGCTGTGGGGCGCATGAAGCAGACGATCACAGATGTTGCTCTTCGGCGTTCATTATTCTGTAATTCACGTTATGAAACAATTCCAAACCTCACAGCTTGTCCGATAACCCGTAGCCGTCGCACAAGGGTTAGAACCTCCGAGAAGACGTATTTGCTGTTGTAACCAGCGGAATCCAGAGCGACCTCCACATGACATCTATGGTGCACGTCCATGTAACGATATCTGCCTACTGTACGCCGAAATAATATAGTGGACTGTACCCGGGACGAGTTTTTTCCTCTATTCTCCAATCAAGAGGGCACGCTACAGTGGTGCCAGGCAGTATTTGGAATGTGTCTGCGGACAATGTTTTTACTGATCTCAAGATTTGCCTGGGCCAGGTGACAAGCGTAGAAGGATATGGCGTTAACACGAACTCGCAATTAGTCCCCAAACATCACCGAACATCGCGCATTCCGATGCGAAGCATTATGGTGTGCAGGGATTTCATTAGAGTACCGCAGCGACCTGCACATCTTTAAGCGGGTTCTGACGGCTGTCCGGTATCGAGATGAAGTCCTAGACCCATTGTGAGATTGTACGCTGCAGCAGTTGGCCCTACTTTGTTTTAATGGCGTAACGCCCATCCCCATAGAGCTGACATCGCGATGCTACTCGAGAGTGAGGGATTGCGCGTATGGCGTGGCCAGCATTTGCCCGACTTTCTCCCATTGATAATCTTTGGGATGCCTCGCCTTGCTGTCTTCACGTTGCCCCATCCACCACTCGTATTGAGCTGGAACTGCTCTACAAGAAGAGTGGCTTAATTCTGCGGGGTTGACCATAATTGAACATGTCCAAGGTAACTTTTGTACACAAGGGGGGGGTCACATACCCTATTATCTCCATTGGTTTCATTTTATGCTGTTTATTTCACTTATCTAATTCTGTTTAAGTCTCCATTGTCATTATCTGATAACTTACAAAAATTTAATATTGTTTTCATTTCTGTATATAATAATTGATTTTGTTTTATGCATAAATATATATGCTACTTTCCTCCCGAATTTTGTGTCACTCAAAGCAGTATTTCTTGATTTTTTTGCATTTTACATCTTCGTGCTTATTTTTTGGAAGTGAGTGTACCTTAAAAATGCCTAAAGGGTACACCAAACATTAAATTTAAAACCTGCACAGAGTTTTACTCTGCATAACAAGTTTATCAAATAAATAAATAAATTAAAATGTATCACATATTAAAAAATTACAATGAAATAAGCAATAGCCCTTAATACAAATATTAATTATAATAATAACTTCCCGCTGCAAAACCTAAGTACTCAAAGGGTATAAAGGAAGTTAAGAACTTTGTTTCCTAAAAAACATCATGCAAAACATTTTATATAATTCAAATTATATGTAATTAAAACATAATATCAAAAAATTACAACGAAATAAGCAATAAATCTTAATTATTATAAGAATAAATTACATTCCCGTTGCATTACCAAAGGGTATAGGAAGTTAGAATTGTTCCAAAAACATCATGAAAAACAAATTATATTACTTAAAACATAATATCAAATTACAACGAATACAATAAATCTCATATTTCCACGTCAGCAGTCCAGTATCCAAAGCGATGATGAGAACTGTGCCAAACCACATTTCTAAAAGATAAACTATCATCAAAGCAATACCATCAAATGTGCTTTGTGGATGACATAATTCAAAATATACAAACCTCTTGCCATTAGCTAATAAAAAGAGAGAGAGAAAAAGAGGAAATTCTTTCTGTTGTGCCTGGCGAGACACATGCGCGTCAGAATAAGGAGATTGCGATGTGCGTGTCCAAAAATCAGAAGAAAATAAGCGGCATGAAATAAGCAATAACCCTTAAAACAAATATTAATTATCCTAATAAATAAATTGAAAAAATGAATACCTTATAAACAGTGAAATAAGCAATAAATATTTTATCTAATATTTTCGCATATGCATGCATATACAAATCATTGAATGAACAATTGTTGCCAAAACCATATTTCTATTTAAAATGATGCGATTTCATCAAAAAGATAAAATTAAAAAAATTTGGATTCGAATTTTGAAAAAATCGTTTCGAGGAACACTGGCTCTTGTCTAGATGTACCTTGTACCAAATTTCGTAGCCCTGGGTCTATTAGCTTACGCACAGCACGAATAAAAGACACTCACAGACAGACTCTTTCTTTTATTATATGTAGAGTTTGTTATTATATATTTAAATATATTCATGCAATTTTACTCTTTCCCTTTACTCTCAGAGAAGATGTTCACTTAATTTTAAAATGTATTTGTCACTGTAGTGGTTCTTTCCGTCTTACAAAGACAAACCCTGAAAGACTACATGCGAAGGCCACTCCGAGCCTTTGCCTTCTAACCCCACGCCAGCCTAATTCAAAAACCGAGCCATCAAAGAAAGGCAAACAGGTACCGATATTTAGTCTACGATTTTGCTGAGTCAGCTCCGTATTCGTCATCTCTTATTATGCACGGATAGTTGAGGCTCGAAGAGTAGCAGAAACAATACTAAGAAGGGAAAGATTTAACTGAGAGGGAAGTAGAAATGAAGATATGTTATTAGGTG